GCAAACTCCTGAACAAGGTGCGGCGCTTTTGCGCCCGAGCAACTATGCCTGTTATATAAGGCGCAGGTGCGGTCTTGCGTGGAATATTGCTCGCACCTCAGGGATGGCTCCGCCAAGTACTTGTTCGAAGCTTTGGATAGGTTACAGCGGCGCTCGATCGCATCATAGGCGATGAGGAGGTGACTAAACACGTCAAGCCTCTTCAATTACGCCGTGATGTGGCGTCACTAAGCATGTTCTATCGTCTGTACCACGGCGAGTGTTCTGAGGAGTTATTCTCTCTTATTCCATCTTTCCCTTTCCATCAGAGGACCACGCACGCTGGCCTTCGTTGTCGCCGTCTATCTGTGGCCACAATCCCAACGCGTACAAAGAAATTTGGTGACTAATTTCTTTGTCGCACTATCCATAAATGGAATGCTCTGCCTGCTCACGTGTTCCCTTCTTCTTACAACCTAGGATCCTTTAAAAGAGGCGTGAAGAAGCAACATGCAGGCCGGCAAGGTGAGGCTGTCTGGTGTGGCAGGTAGAACTGCTGCAGAAGCTATCTTCACGTCTGGCCTTTACCATGACTTAACATTAGGTGGGGTGGAGTCATTTGTCGGACCGGATAATTAATATTATTCTTATTTAAAACAATACTGGAGATTAAGCAAAACACGTTTTGAACGGGTTTAGAGCGCGTTTCATTTAAGAGTTTTTATTTTTCTTGACATTTCAGACCCTTTGTTTTATTTAATTATTGGTGTGCGTGAAAACGCGAGAAATAAATACTGGAGATATTATTAATTTATTTTGTACTGCAAAGAATTAATGGGGCTCTTGTGATTTCACAATGCAAATGAATTTTAAGGGCTTTCATATTGTGACTGGATACTCGAACATTGAAAGAGATAATGTGTCCCTGTCGGCAGGGGCCGCTGTGGTAATACTTTGAGAGGGGTTGACCAAAAGCGAGAATTATTTTTTTAGGACGTTTGTTTCAAAAACTGTTTATTATTCCGCACTCTGGCGAAATACAAATTAAAAAGGTTTTCCGAAAGGTTTTATATAAATCAATCTCTTTTGTTAAGTACCTCTACTCCTTTGACGTCTCCGCTAATTGGATTTTTTAATAAATAAGACTGGGCGAGAACGGTCCAAGAACCAATACCGATACTATTATGGTATTTATGCAAGAGTACATCAACTACAAATACAAATTGGCATCAAAATCTGACCCGACAGTTTTGTGAAAAATTACACTTTTATTTGTTTAAATAAATGATTTCTGACTTTTTTTGTCATAAATACACATTTTGTGACAATTTTAGCTGTGTGTCTAATACGTTTCATTAGATAGAGATCCGTATTGACGGACGGATGGATAGCGGAAGCTTTAATGGGGTTAAGTTTACTTTGGGTACGAAACCCTAAGAAATAGTATAGTTCCTTATATTTTTACAATAGTTTTGTACTGACCTCTTTTGTATTTTTTTGTATTTTTTAATGTAAACCTGCTTATTATATAAATATACCCGGATAGCGGAAGATGCGGGTTCGAATCCCGTCTGAATCCTGGGCCGCGTACAATTTGCTTTAGATTTAAACATCCAGCAGTTACTAAAGTGCTTAAGAAAATTTTATAATACTTATTATTTTTTCATTTCCGAGCGTTCTAATTTTGAAAGCGACGTAAGCTCAGATTCCCAAAAACTAAAAAAGCAGTTTCATTCATTTTTAATTTTACCTAACTTTTTTTTTCTTGTTCTATCAGATAAATTATCAAAAAGTATTAGACACGTATTTTTTCCTTACTCACACAGTGAAAATATTACAGATATACCTACTTATATTGATTTGAAATATCGCATGACGTCTTGGTACAATAGGCTAGTTGACACTTTTTGGAAATATTTTTTAAAAGGTCAATGGGTGGCAATGGTTTTAGTAGACCAAAAAAAATATATTGTATTTTTTTTTGACCTAGAAAGCTACAAAACTTTAATTTTAAAATAGATTTTTCATGGACATACGAAAACGCTGTCGACCATTTTAGTCTATAGATTTAGCTATGCTAAGACGTTAAAATATTTGTAAACAAAAAGTAGTGGTTTAAAATGCCTAGAGAAATACACATACCTACAAATGAACACACGTTAAAAACTTGCTAAATCCTGTAACTTTATTGACTGAAAGTAATTTATTTTAGCAAAGGTCACTTCGATATAAGTATTCATTGAATAATAGTTTCAAAATACAATTTTTAAGGTTATGAATGCACCTACTAAGTCAAGGAGTTTTGTCGTTTCTGCTTTCACAAATCCGGCGGCGTCCAGCATTAATTTAGTCAACAAAACTAATTAACAGATCCTTGCAGATCCCACCTCAAATCCCTCCTAAAGTGTCCCACCTATAACACTGGCTTCGCATCCTATTCAGTCAGTCATCCTATCAGTACATGCCGTCCGTCTGTGGAATTCGCTGCCAGCAGAAATTAGAGACTCTAGTTCTGTCTCAGTGTTCAAAAAACATCTGAAAGAACACTATTTATTTTCTTGCCCTTAATTTTGCCCTTGTTCTTCTCATTGTTTCTCTTCTCGTCGTCCATATTATATGTATGTATGTATTTATTTATGTATTGTCATCAATATCATATTCGTATGTGTATGTAATTTATTCATTATATATATGTACTTTTATATATAACCCTATATATGTAGTTCCCATATTTATAAGTATTAACATATATTTATATTCAGGTGTACACGCTGACTACTTTTCTTATATTCTTTCCTACTATGGGCCTACTGGAAGAAATTTCAGATTGAAATAAGTTGTGCCCTTGTACATGTTATCTTTAATTAAGTTCCACCTGTATTCTTTTTTGTGTGTACAGAATATATAAATAAATAAATACCGGAAACTTTTGTACAACATATAAGAGTTTTTAGATATATTTTAGTCCGACGAAAGAAACCACAGTAACACGACAATGACGTTTAGTAGTTAACAAATTCTGTTACATCACAATCATGGTAGACAGCGTTTTTAGTGTTTAAAAAGCATAGACTAAAAACTATTTTTCAAATTAAATTACCGCGCTTGGTCCGTTATTATCCAACAATCCGCCCTGGGTCTGTTATCACCCACCAATCCGCGCTGGGTCCGTTATCACCCACCAATTAGCACTGTGTCCGTTATCACCCACCAATCTGCACTGGGTCCGTTATCACCCACCAATCCGAGCTGGGTCTGTTATCACCCACCAATCTGCACTGGGTCCGTTATCACCCACCAATCCGCTCCACCAAGCACTAGATTCGTGTATTTTGTGACGGATATTGTTCATTTTTTACCGATGAGTCACCGATGACACGCGTAATGCCAAAATCGTAACACATTCGCCAGTTTACCCCCCAAGTCAAGCGTGCCTAAGGAAGTTTCACTTCAAAAAACACACGGATTTATTGTAGCCGTCGAATGAGTACAATATATATTTTTTCAATAATTTCTCTGCCTGCTGATTAACTAAACTTTGCGTGGTGAATGTTTGAAATAAGAAGTCGAAGTTAATTTTGTAACTGCTGCACAATGTTGTATCGGTTCTTGTAAATTAAAGCCAGTCGCATTGTAATTGTGACCTCACAAAGAAATGCATACAAGTACCTACTACAATTTGAATAAGTATCGCTGCATTATTTTTTTACTGTACTTATGATAAGGAAATCATGTATTATTAAGTTAGCAGGTACTAGTTAGTAAATACTTTGAAATGATAATGTTAGCTGTTGGAAGCACGGAGAGAGGTCAGAAGAAATTTTCGTGAATACAATTTTAATTTCATGATCTTCCTTTCATTTCAAATGCAATGTTATTTAGGAAAAAATAATCCTTATGATTATCCCTTTCGACGGTTATCATAAAATACGTCGTGTGTGTGTTTACAAGTTTGATTCCCTGTTATGACAGGCGATTTAAAAAAATATGTGAATGCAGTTCTACTTACTATAAAAAATAAAACGATTTTTTCTATCAGTCCAATATCCTATCTTCAATATATAATACACTTTCGCTCTGTGTGGCATGGCCGTGGGACGCCCTGTATACCCTACAATCGCCATAAAAATTAATTTAACAATGTTATTGAAAATATAAAATATTTTTTTTGCCAAATAATGAAAAGCAATTTAATTTATCCGTTTGGGGCGCTCCATTTAAGAGACTACATCTTTATGAAATTTTATAAAAATCTATCAATGTTCTATGTTAATATTTTCCCTGCTTCTGAGTTATTAGGATCGTATTACATAAGCCCCATACCCATTATTCTTTTATAATTTTTCAGTATCAATATAATTTATATAATCGGCAGTTGGACTAACAGAATGTTCTTCAATATAATGGGTACGCCAACAATAATTGGGAAAAAAATGTAAACGCCAGTCAAATCTGACGTATATAAAAATAATGATCTAAGACATGTCATTATATGTTACCAGCGTGTGCCAACACTTTTCCAATCTTTTAGTTGTTTGTTTATTCACCAAAATAGATACCGAAAAATAATGGGCCTCTCCTTTAGTAATGGTTGGAAAATTCTGTGGCATATTATTATTTATGAGAATTATACAAACGATCTTCAATGTAGCTACAACACAACGATTTAACTCGCTGTGTTGTAGCTACATTGAAGATCGTTTGTACAAACTTTTTATCCTTTTCAATACCGAAAGTGGTAGCAGGTGTAAACTTTGCAGAATGAAATCTCAAGAAACTGTTATTGCTGATAACACAGTTTCAATCGTGAACAATGCAAATAATCTTTGGCAAAGAACAATTTGGCGTTTGTTCAAGCATGACATTTTAGTTTTCTTTTCTCCCAATATAATCAGCTGTTATTAATTTATACTTTGAACAACTGTTAACATCGCATCGTTGTGAAATTAAGTTTAATAATATCCATATGGCTTGTTTTTGTGTATTTATAAATAGAAGAAAAAAATATAATGCAAACTTACCTCATTTGGTCCAACAGTGGAGCGCTTTAGTAGATTCTGTCTCTTTCGTTCTGTTGTTGTTAATTTTGATATCAAACAGGAACTTAATATTGACAAAGCTATGCTAGGGACTAGTTTTAATATGACACTGTAAATCCACATTATTGCTGTAACTAATTCAACGTTCTTGGACATTTCCAACACATACACGGTCCGATTATGCGGCAACGATAGATCTTCAGCAAACTCTGAATTATTTTGCGGAGTTACTTCACTGGGCACTATATTCATCGCAAAGTAAAACGGAAGACACAAAAATGGACATATAACATATGCACTCACTATAGCTAGAGTCGTGTTTCTCTTATTACACCAAGTTCTATTCTTCTGCGGGTAAGCGATCGCCACGTATCGCCACACCGCAAGCGTTACGGCCAGCCATATCGATATCGTATGAAAAGTTTGACTGAAGATGGAATGGAAGTAAACAAAAACTGCCCACGAGTAAGTATTCTTGTTCAGTTGCGGTCCTATCTTGATGTTCATGTGGAGAGCGTAGGGTATGTACTCGAGCATAACAAGAAGATCGGCGACGGCGAGGCCGGTGAGTATGGAGTTCGTGGAGCTGGTCATCTCGCGGCGGCTGAGCACCGCTATGTTGATGGAGTTGGTAGCGGAGCCGACGATGCACACCACTAGGGCGATATAGCCGTGCATGCGGCTGTAGGCCTTGTTGAAGTCGGTGGCACCTGGCACGCAGTACGCGTCTGTCGCGTTGGCCATGCTGGCACTCCACGCTGCACCGGGTTATCATTGGCGCTGCTGGGGTGCTATAGACACCCCGTCTTCAACGTGCAACCATCTCACATCGCGACCCATCGTCACAACCTGTAACAAAATAACGACAAATTTAAAACGGCGACAACGTTTGAAACACGTCGTGTTTCTTCTTTTAATCGATTGGCGCAGGGAAAAGCACTCAATTCTGTTTATTATTGTTCTATCAATTCATCACGTATGGAAATTTTTAAAACCTGTCATTCGTATTTAGAAACGCACTGTGAAAATAAATAAACAAAAAGGAATTGGTTTTCGTATGTTAATCTTCCAAAACAGTTTGAAGGTCAGGCCGGCATAGCCTTGACTTGCGATCCACACATTACAATTTTAAACGTCACATGTGTTTAAACAATTGTAGTTTGGTAAGAAAACATAAAGTTAAAAACCGTAAGTATTAAGATTTGTTTTGAACATATTGCTGTTCCTGAGAGACAGAACAGAAAAGGTAAGGAAGCAGATTCTCGCTAGAATAAGGAAGTTTCCATTTTGTTATCTTTATTTAAAATAATAATACTAAACTCACAATTAAGAAAACTGTTCAGTTTTTAAATTATTTTTAAAAATTACGAAGTTACGATTTTTTTCTCGCCCGCTTTGTAAAGTCGTCGGCATGCGGCCCACTCACTTCATGACGTCACAAGTTCCGTTCGACTCGTCATTGCTACGTTGCGTTGCCACGTTGCTCAGACGGTTAGTACTTGTGATTGTATCAAGATGGACGGAACAGGTTATCATTATGGAAACAAATACAGTGCAATATAATTTTATTTAATTTAACTTCCATTATCATTTAATTAATTTATGTTTAATTTACGTCATTTTTATTTATTTATTAAAAAAAATATCCATTACTTGGAGGTAGATTGGTCTTCGGTTAGGGTATTGGCTGTTTAATAAATTTATAAGTACTTCTTAAAAAAAAACTAATGCCCAATAGTATTTCGCGAAAGTACAAGAAGATTCTTCTGTCTGTCTGTTTAGCCGCATAGTTTGAGTTTTAGAATGTTTAGATCCTCCCTGGCTGGTAGCACAATTTTCGCAACATTAGTTGGTTAGTACGTTCATTCGTAACAAAATAATTAAAATTAATTATAAAGAAGACCGGCCAAGGTTCCATACTAACATTTATTTTGCAATACAACCATTGCTTTGCCTTAAAACTTTTCTACAAGTACCTAGGCATTTACAAAAACGATCATTATAAAAAATAAATAAAAACGATTTCTATACAGAGGCCCCCATTATTTTTAACTGTATTTCATTTTTAGGGTTCGGTGCGGGCTTATTCCACTTCGAGTGGGTCTTTGGTTCGAAGAAATCTTCTTTCCCTGGGCTGCTTCTCACGGGGTGCGCCCCCGTGGGGTTGGGTTCCGCTGTGCAGCGGTCGTCATAGGCGATGAAACCATGTGCTTCTTACCCCTTCATGCCCGCTCTCGCCAGGAGACTTGCGACGCAGCCCTCAGCGCGGTCAACCAAGCCGGCTGAGACCCCATGAGGGGTGGCCCAGCTAGACCAGCGAACGGGCTGCGGTATAGGCAAGCGGGGGTATGCAGGGAGTATTAGCTGGGTGGGGGTATAGTGGTAGTCTGGATTGTTGGTGGGTGGGAAGTAGAAGGTGGCGACAGCAAGCATGGTGTCGGGTGACGGCGCAGCGCTTATCCGCAGCGAATCTGACCATGTGAGAAAGCAGAGTTAAAGGCGCCGAAAATGGAAGGGGTGCAATATTTTGAAGGTGATGGTGCGGGCCGCAGTCGGTGCGGGAAAACATGCCCAGAGAAAGGCGGTCAATGGCCTCAACTGGCCAAGGGAGATGACATCGGTACCAACGTGGTGCCCACCCAGGTGATGATGCGGAGCGTTCTGTTGTTGCTGGAGCCGCTGTCTCTGGGTCTTGTGATGTTTAATTCTCCTCCACTGCCCTCTTTTAAGCTCACTCAAAGCACCGGGGGAACAATGAAAGAAAACCAAAAGAATTAAGATAATGTTATAAGTATATTTTATCCACTTTAGATACCAAAGCAGAGGGATTCAGTATTTTTAAGTTATTGCTTATATAAATCAACAAGCCCAACTATGTTTATTATTTATATAATAACTATGTTTCACTAATTATAAATATCTAAGCTGAATACAGTAGTTCAAAGTTAAAGTGTATATAAACCAACAAGTTGTCATGAGATGTTATAATTATATGAATATCAGACATTCATAACACTTTACTATGCACTTACATGAGTTCTCAACTATATCTAGTATATTTTATCCACACATACCACATAGACTAGACTGAATAAGCTATTTAGTGGATTTCAGAGGTTCTACGGCTCGTTTAATCGATATTGGTGACAAACTTAGTTAATTCCAGTTCTCAGTGAGATAACCAGTTATATAGATATATGTATATATATGGAAATGGGTAGGTCGGGGTCCAACCTCGCCTTGTGGTTCTTCTCCACGCTCACCCGGGGTTAGTAGTGAAATACCTTGATTAGGATAGGTTTAGTAGTGTATGATCTGTCCGCTGTTACGGCCGGGTTACATAAAACCGGAGAGCGGCTGGCAAATAAACTCCCGCGTCTTCTGGTCCTTCTGGTCCGTGTACAGAGAAAGAGTCTCCTTGTTATTCCTCCAGTATTTCTTGAGGGGAACGTACAAGCCTGAAGTTCACATTGAAAAAAAATGATCAGACATGGGGAAAATACATAGATTACCACATCTGTAGTGGGTGAGGGAGTGAGGGACATTCACGGTCAATGTTTACACTTTAAAATTTGAATCACTACATGACTGGGGCCCATCCCACCGGGTTGAAGGAAATCAATTTCATGTTCACCAACTTGACAAGAATGATTAGGTATATTTGATTACAATAATCACTATATTGTGCATAATGCAGTTCAATTAGTGCTAGGGGAATAAATATGAGGTCAGATGATAGCTTACCGTTCGAAATATGAAACTATCCGTAAGTATTTTGTTTCCTATCACAAGTTACTGCCTTATTGCAACGCCTTGCGAAGGTTCGTGTTCGTCCACCTACGATACAGAATATCAACAGAAAGGTTATTTTTCACAGCCCAAACTTGCAAAATAAGTAGGAAAAAGAGTTACTCCAATATACCTGCGAAACTCCGTTCGGTTAGCGACTCCGCGCTATTTCCGCCAATATCCTTCAGGATATAAACTTTTCGGATCTATTTCACGACTCCGACGACTATAATATGCCTTATAATATACTTTGGACAGAAGAAAAGATGAAAAGTTAACTGTACCACAAACAGATTGTGAAATTTTAAATGTTGTTTTGACAATTGCTCATAGATGATAGACGGGTCGTCCACTCCCAACCATGTGTCTATGATTTGTTTCTCACTCCAACCGAAGGCAAAGGCCACAGTCAAACAGACAGCCGCCGCGTTCGAGACGAACTGAAGAATAAACTCAAAACTATATACCTACGCTCGCCGTAAGCTGAGGAAAAGGGAATACCCACCCAAATCAGCGAGGAAATTCAATTTCGAGTAAAATTCAAAATCGATTAAAAACAGCGCCCGATAAGAAGGACTCAAATCGATATGGGAAAAACTATTCAAAATTCAACAACTGTCAAACTCCATCCATTCATCCACGCGCCCCCACAGAGATTCACTGCCTGATTACCTTTTTTTTTTTTCTCAAGGCGAATATTTTAGTCGAATAGAAAAATCGACTATTCCTCAAGGCTATCAACCCAATCAATGAAGTTTGACAGCTACGCCGACGTAAGCGGTTCGCTATCATAGACAAAACAGCTGTCCTACGTGTGTCAGTGTCACGCCCTGTTTAAAAACAAACACTACAGTCTGCGAACAGAGACGGTACCAAGCCGAGGCCTCATAAGTTAAAATAGGCGGCACGTAGGTCTCGTAGATGACTACTTTTGCTTTGAGGGGCAGCGGCGATGCCAGTATGGGCTGGTGCAGCTCTTACTCCCCGGCTTTTGGTGAAGGCCGCTTCTACTTGGGCAGACATGGAAAGCTGGCAGTCAATTAACATGCCCAGGTACTTCATGTTTCTTGCCCACTCGATTTTTTTATCAGGGCAAGTTTAGGCGGGAACTTTCTCTTATGCGAAATGCAGATGGCGGTCGGCCATCCACCTCGGGAGCTTGTCCAGTTGGCGCTGCATTCTTTTTATCGCCGCCTGTACCCATACCGTCGATGTAAAGAAAGAGCTGTCGTCGGCGAATAGGGCCAGCTCGACCTTTGGTTCCCACTCCGCTAAATCCTTGTTTAGCAGTGATTTCGATTTGGAAAAAGTGAAAATTAAGGTATGCAGGAAAAACACCGTGGAAACACTTGTGCTTTTTGATCACAGTGATTCGACAATCACAATATAACAACACAAAGAAGCATCAATTTCGAGAAAGCAAGTTGTTATAAGATAATCGAAAATATCTCACACACGAACACGGTGGTGGGAATGCGCAGTTTTTGCTCAGCACTAGTAGGCGGGCTCAACGACGAGCAGAGTCACACGACCTACCACGACGGCGACACGAGGAGAACTACCGAATCAAAAAGGACCCTTATGTAGGTAGTAGGTAGTTAGGAGTTTCGCTATGTCCCTCCATCCACAACTTAGCTCAGAAACTTTATAGACAGTTATAATTTGGTTTTGGTTTGAGATTTATATATTAGTTACAAAAACAAAGAAAATAGTAAAATCTTGAAAAATCAATTGTGTGTTAATTATTTTCCGTGCATCTTATGGTGCGGGGTATCGTTAAATAGGTTTTTCAAGAATGTTGAAATATTATTAAAATGTTTTTTTATTATTAGGGGATTCGTTTGTGAAATATCAAACTTTATAGAATAATTTGTTAGAGTCAGGTGTACCCTTCCTCTGCTAGCACGATGTTTCTTGATATCTTATATTTATAATAAGGTAGTAGTATAAATAGTAAAATTAAAAGGAAAACTATCACAACTAAGTAAGCTTTAAAATTTTACTTGGCTTTTATGTTGTAGTCGGAAAAGTTAAAACATCGTACAGATTTCAATTAAAAT